TCTTGTCACTGGTCGACATTCTAATGGAATAATACATATATTCGAAGACCGGGTACCGCCGGACTTAACCTACTTGCTACGAAATAAAGATAAGCTTGAGGTTAAACTTTGCTGAGCGTTCGTTTTACTGATCGGACGAGATATCAACCCGCAACGTCCGAATGCCTACATTGCAAGACAACATTCCTGGAAAAAAGCTCAAGTTGGTTTCCAGCCAATTAAAACGATTTTTAAACCGATTGGAGAATTTTTGTTTAAAAGGTTTACAAGCGTTGGATTAACAAGATCGGTTCTAGGTGGAAAAGTTTAAAGTTTTCCCGCGTTGCATTTTTAAGCATGCGCTTACGTTACTTTAAGTGGTTACGTGCTTCGAATTAACGAGCAAAACGAAGATACGCTCAACCTCAATCAGACAATTACTGCTGGCCATTTCAAAACGAGACCTGCCTTTTGATATCGCCGAGAAAAAAGAAATCACACGGAATGACTACATTTTTTAAATTAAAGCTCGTTCCTGGCTGGAAAAATAATCGGAATTTTGAAACCTACGCCTGGAATTTCAGTATAAACTACGTACGACTCGTAGAATTCCCTAACATATATGCTAATTTAAAAAGGTTTGATATACAATTTCAGAACAGGGTTCGACAATTATCGGAATTTTTATTGAGCTCATCACGATTATTTACGAGATAACTATGATTTCTGCTTAATCTGCTTCCAATTATCTTGATTGATTATTTGTATATTAATTAAAATATTTTTTAGTCTTAACTTTACTTAATGATCGATTATTCAATAAAAAGGGAGAAAACAAAACTGGTCATTAATCTGTTCTTTTTTTCTGCTTATTCCGGATTAACAATTTTCAGCGTGTATTTCGTACTTGGCAGACTTAAATTTAACTTTTTTTTCCTGAGAGATGTTTTTCAAATTGTCCATTCCGTCGAACTGCATTCATCTATTCATGTCCCAAAGGTTGTGCCATGAAGTGCTTATTCATTACAACTAGGCCTGAAATCGCGCAGCTTTTGCCTAGTAATCTAAATATGATCTCGGATGATACAGGGCATGTTTTTGGCCCTAGAAAAAAAATCAATATTAGCTCAATACTTGGAGTACATATATTTACGCTTTAAATAAATAAGTCTGTTAAATTAAAACCAACGAATCAAGTCCATTAGTTCTTTGTTGTTATCTAAAGAGATTCCGCAGCCGCTTGCTATAAAAAACAAGACAGATAAAGAATCGTTGCGCTAATAAATATAAATAAATGATAAATAAAGTAAACATATTTGTTTAAGATGTTTGTTACTCGTTTTGTATTTAATGCAACTAGAATATTTTCTTCTCGCGTTCGCCAACGTGAGAAATAAATCGGGTTAAAAACACGAAATCCGTCTGATGGGCGAAAGTGGTTATAAACAGGGAAAGCACGAGAACTATTGTTCCTCGTCCAATTATTCTTCCCTAGGTGTTCATCAATATTAACTAGCAACCGTTAACGACGTCTTGCTCTGGAACGCAAATCGAGCTCTTTGTGGTACTATTTGCACTTTAATTTTTGATTTACTTTGATTCCAGATACTATTGCAATCCCAGAAAGACGTGCATGCACACGAAACTCGAAATTCACTGGAAAACATCACTCTCTACTTTTTTTTTAAGCTAAACAAATAAAAAACACAGTATTTAAAGACCAAATGGATTAGAAAATCAATATTCTTCTGATAATTACCGGGCTAAAAGGGAGGGCATGCGGACCGTTTAAATTCCAACTGCTTCAATCAGTTCGCAACCTCAGCCAACCATCAAGAAAAGATTAACAGAAGTTAATTGAAACGTGTTAAAAAAAGGACTGATGGTTCAATTAACAACTCCAGTCATCAATCAGCCTGGGCTAAATGGACAGACATTAACCATCAGCTTTTAGAGATGGCACTTTGGAGAAATAACCGCCGACCGAAATTACGAACTCTTTATGGTGTGATGTTGTTCAAACTTTTGGCTTTGATGTGAGGATTCAAAAAGTCCAATACTAAGAAAAAATATCCAGAGGAACTATACTGCCAAAGGTTTTAAAAAGCCGTAATATCTAAAGGTCATACTGTACAAAGTTAGTTAAAGAGAGCCACAGATCTTGACGAAGAGGATGTCAGCGTCAATTAGGAAGGAATATGCAAAAAACTGATCGAGTTGATTTTTCGGCTCTAGAAGCATCTCTAGATCGTCAAACCTCACCTAATAAACGTTCTGCATGGAAAGCATTTTTCATAAAAACAAAAGACGCTTTGTTATCCCTAGATTGAGAGATTTCTCCAGGCTGTCTGTGGATGATGAATCAGAAATATAGACGTTACAGGCTTGTCTGTCATGATGACATATGGATAGGCAGACCAAAATGATCGGTGGCGACCAATTTTCATCTCCAGTAATGCCTGATAAAAAAAAACTGTGCAACCATATTTGATATGGTGGATTCAAGTGTAAAAGTTAGCAGTAAAGAAAATAGAAAGCTGTAATTAATTTGATCACCAATGGAAAGACCAGCACTGTCTGTGGGAAACAAAAAATCATGCAGAATTAAATGATACATCGTAAATTCAGGATTTTACAGCAAATTTGATGTTTTTCCTTGCTTAAATTTTTGATTATCTTTCATGCCTTGAGTTCATACTGTATAAAACTGATTCAAAGTGCCACAGGAAGATGTCAAACGTTCATAAGCAAAACGGAAGCCATAAGGAGAAAACTAATTGAGATGGTTTCATCAAGATCAACTTTAGACATCAAACCTCATCTAATAGGACTTCTGCAAAACGTTCTGCATGAAAACTAATTATTGTTAAAATAAAAGATGATTTGTAATCACAGAGATGGTGAGTATTTACCAGGTTATCTATGGGGTGATGAACCTGAAATTGGTCGTTGGTGTCATCATGATAGATCAACCCGGTACCAGCGGTAAGCAAAAATGATCTGTAACGATCAATTTTCAACTCCCAGTGATGCCTAATAAAAGACAAACTGTTCAATCATATCTGATGTGGTGGATCCAAGGGTAAAAAATAACTAGAAGGCTCCTTACAATCACCGATCATCAGTTGTGAAAGCCCAACACTGTCTGGAGGAAGAAAGAAGTCTTGCAGATTTAAATGATTCATAGTAATTAATGATTTTACAATGTGAGATTTTTCCTTAGTCAAATCATATAAGATGTTCCATGTCTGAAGGTCAGACTGTTTAACGATCCAATTACTGATGCCTAGCGTAACTGTCAGTTATCAAACGAGAATAAACAAAAAGCCGATTAAGCAAATATCATGGATTCTTTTGGTAACAACCGGTAGTGGTGCTAAAGGCCGATGTCCAGAGAATGAAGATTTAATGAGCATTCTTCTTTATTGTCAGATTCTAAAAATGGTAATTTTGTCAATGGATTATCTGTTTTTTAATAGTAATTTTCAGTTTTATTGTTATTTTTGAAATATTTAGTATTAGATAATATTCTCGCTTATCTCATTGTTTCGTGTTTGCTCGTAGACGCATTATGCAGATACTGCCAAATGTAAATGACCCTGATAGCGCGCAGAGAAGCAACACGGACAGTTTCTTCTGTTATCTCGACAGTTTTCTCCTGCCGATATTTTCCCACTGAGTAAACATGTTCAGCAAGACAGTAAAAACAAGGAAAGAATTACGAATTTTTCACCGAATTTATTTAGCTTATCTCTTATTTATGCTTGTTGAAAGATAAACCGAGGCTTTCCGATCCTTTGTATTTTTCCCTCGGTGGGACAAGTCTGCAAACCGGCCAATCCAATCTCCCTTCATTTTATCTAGATTGGTTCGGCCATTTTTCTAAGAAATAGGCGCATTAAGCCGATTGGATGAAACGAGAGCTGGAGATAAGAAATCCAGGAAAAGAACCTTAAAAGAGACAATGAACTTTTTTTCCCGCACGCGATTCAAAAATTAGAATTCGTGTGGGCTTGGAGGGTTGTGTAAAAATTAAAATGTTTATTTTTGTACGGTTAGATTTCGTGTTTAATGCCAACAGTTCTATTTAAAGTGAACGGGTACCAAGAGCTGAGGCGTTTTATTAAAAACCATTATAAAACAATCAGCTCAGAACATCTGTCAAGAATTCTCTTCAACTGAAAAAAAACAAAAAACTAGAATATCATTCCTAACCACATAAAATTCGCATTACATTTTATACCAGGGTACCATAAAACAATAAAATCAATAGGATCTATAAATTCATTTCTAAGACATCCCTATTGCTCGAATACTTTATTTTACGATTTTTACGGTTCGTTAGTTCAACTGTTCTAAAAGGTAATCGAGAACATTGTAAAGCAGTTGAACCAATGAACCATAAAATCGTAAAATTAAATATTTGAGCTAAGGATGTCCTCAAAATAAATTTTACAGAACGAAAATTGCGTAAAATCCTTTGAGTACTTAAAAAAGTGTATTTTTTAATTGAACCGTTTCTAAATTTAATTATAAATTATTGATAGGATCGACCAGTTGTTCACTACTAATCACTACATCATTATAGTTTCTAATTTTCTTACTTCCTCATAATTGGGTAACTATTGTTACAAACTTTATTGTTAATCACGCCAGATCCTTTGTTGTTAATTATAATTTTTTTTCCGAGTTGGTCGAAAACCCCGCATCGCTTTGCTAAGGTCAATTTTATTTATACTTTCTTTATCGCTGTTTTGGGTCCGCTTGGCAGAGATGTTGCGTACCGAATCAATGCCAAGGTAAAACAGAGAACCGGCGAGACTGTACGGACTTTTATGCTGATCCTATTAACGCATGCAATATTTAAAAGTCTTTCTATGTTGAAAATCTAAAAAAAAAGTTTTTTGATAAGGAGCGAAGAAGGATGAGGATCGGCCCCCTAGTGGGAAAAAACTCGTTCTTCGACATCTTAAGACACCGGAGGCTGAACCCCAAGCTTCTTCATGTAAAATCCATCCTACCTTTTGGACAAGAAGGGGCTGTCCGAAATCTTTTCCACCCTGAAGGCGGAAACCCCAGGGGGATGCGTCACCCCTAGATAGCCTCACGTTAACCAGTTGAGCCATGGTCTACCACAATTCGCACTTCCTCTCCGGACGTGAAAACTGGGATGGGGAAAAAAAGACGGCAAATCGTTCCAGGAGTACGTCCGAGTTGTGAATGGTTCGGAGGTTGTTTTCTTACTTGGCGGATCCGATTTTAGATAGAAGGAGACCCCTCTCTGCTATTTTTGAATTTAGTGCTGTCCCACTGAGCGGCGAGGGTGGGAATGCGCGCAACTCCAGAACGGCGATCGTCGCGCATATCCTCTTACAATACAAGCATAAACGGCAAGATAACCTGTCGCCGCGAAACCTACTCCGTGCTAGACTGCCACTCGATAGTGTTTATCGCTAGAATGTCATCCTGCTAGTGTCTTTTGATTCACGATTTACTTCATAACTATGGCTGCCCAATCTGGGGAAAACTACTGTTCTGATGACGGAGTCACAGATTCACCGAAAAAAGGTGAAAAGGAGGAAAATAATAATACTTTTTAAACATGTTTTGTAAAATTGTACATTTTTGCAGGACCTACGTTGTCGACGAGCACGAGCAGTTTCGAAGCTTTGGACCCTCATGACCCGAATTTGAGCAAACTTGCCACATCTATGTTCCAGAAGACTTCAGACTATCTAACAGGGGAGCTCACATTAACTCAGGCAAGCTGCATTATTTACCTTTCATGAATATAGCAAGCCAAAAAATTATTCAAACATTTGGTTGTTTTTTCTTCTGTAACATGTAATTTATTTATAACTATGAAGAAAAGAAGATAACTATATACAAATCGTGACAGATGTCAGACTGTTATAGGATTATAAGAATGGGACATTGAGGAAAGAGTTTGGGTTCAGAACAACCCCTTCACAAATGGTATTTTAATATCTCCATGGATCATTTAATTGACTACATAGGAGATAGTGTTGAGTATTCGGCAGAGCACGTTGGATTGAAAGGATTGGATTCGTTGGATGTTGGAGGAGTTCGACCGACCGTGTGGCACATCTGATCATATCAGGCTGACGAGTGTTTTGTAAGCGGAAAATCATTTATGCGTAATGTTGATGTTAGTCTGAGAGTTCATATCTTTTGTTACGTTCTTATCTTTTTAATCATGTAAGTGGGTTCCATGTCTGTTATCTAAGTAAAGTAAAGGTAGCAGAGGACTTGGTTGGATGGAGGTTATTTTTCCCTAGTGACAGTACACCCTAACACCAGGGGTAATATTACGTATATATCTCAAACCACTTATATAGTATATTTACAATTCCAATTATAATTGTATGTTTAGCATTTAGAAAGTAAACAACCACAAAAGAAACTGACCTTATTTTAAATTAAACCCAAAAACAACTAAATACTAAGTACATAAGGAATATTTACAATCACTAGTTTCGTGGTCCGCTTGACCAATTAATATCTTACAATTAATTAAGGTTTTCAGTTGAAATAAAAAAGTCAATGGCACGAGCGGGATTCGAACCCACAATCTTCGGCTTGATATGCCGCTGCTCTACCACTTGAGCTACCGTGACCTCAATGCACTCGGACACCAACTTCCCATCTCAACCACACCTAAAAACCTTAATTAATTGTTCCTATTTATACAATTATATTAATCACGTTTTTATTCCCTTATTTTTGCTTCGTTCTTCCACACCTTTTGAATTTTCCCTCCTTTTTGCCATTTTTCAAATGTCGTGTAATCAGTTTTTTTTCTCGGTGACAATGAAATGGCCACGGAGAAAAGGTGTGGTTGAAATGGGAAGTTGGTGTCCGAGTGGATCGAGGTCACGATAGCTCAAGTGGTAGACAGTGGCGTATCAAGCCGAAGATCGTGGGTTTGAATCCCTCTCGTGCCATTGACTTTTTTTATCTCAACTGAAAACCTTAATTAATTGTAAGATATTAATTGGTCAAGCGGACCACGAAACTAGTGAATGTAATAAGTTTAAAATGAAGTATACTTCATTATATATATACCTTTACTAAAGCTCTCCGTGGGTTTTTTATCTCAACTAAAAACCTTAATTAATTGTAAAATATTTACAATATTTACAACTGGAGGTCATTACTTTTAAGAAAATAAATAACATATTTACATTGGGATTTGGGATCGGTCTCGATGCCAAAGTGGTGTAAATAAACCCTATTCTTTCTGTGTCCACTAAGGGCTTGGGTTGTATAAAAGTTTATCCTTGCTAGAGGGCTGGCTCATTGGATGTTGATGCTTGGGAAGAACTTCTTTGTGTGGTTCCCTTTAGTTGTTCCAACCCAGATGGCCTCCCATGTTCAGGTGAGCTGCTCTCTTTGGCAAGCCTTGCCCGAATGTAAGATTTTTTTTACAATGGATACTAGGAATTGGAGGAGGTCTCCCTGAGCACTGCAGCTGTACAGCTTATTGTACTTTATTCCCAGGAAGCCAGCTCCATTTTTTGGGAGCTCACAACATGCGTGTAAATTGAGCCCCTGGTGTGCCAGTGTTCTTACATCGAAGAAACTCATTTTTCATTTTTGAAGGGGGTTTGGACCAAATTTAGGGTCACTGATGAGTGCCATGTCAATTTCTTTCTATTGCAGCCACCGGTCCTCTTAGGTGTCAGAAAAAAGTCCAGAAGCGATGATGGGAATCGAACCCACGACCACGGGATTTACTAGCTGAGTCTGATGCCTTAACCACTTGACTACCGTGGGCTCCTCCAATGTGCTCCCTGCTTAATGAGAGTGTCAGCAGCCTCATTCCCTTCCTGCCGCATTTGCTCGAACCCAACTAAAGAACATTTCTAGTTCCCACTTCGATTCCAGATTTTATAACTTCTCTCTAATTGTGGCAATCATTGGTTGTTGGTTTTTGAATCCAAACTTATTCAGCTATCGGTGAAGATCGTTACACCCCACACTTCTTGGATATCTGAGATCTTCTTCTGAGATATTTGAGAATCTTCAACCCATTCCATGGCCTTAAATAAGGCCAACTGTTTGGATTGGTTGTTTGACCAACAGATTTTTGACCTATATTTGCGTTCAGTTATTCTGTTTTCTTCCTTGTATACTATGAATGTGCTATCAACTGCTCCATTTTTTTTACTACCATCCGTAAATATACAGATTCGTGTAATTTATAAAAAGTGCCTTTTTTAATGGATGTCTGGAGAATGGGATGATGCCACAGTGCAACGTCAATAGGGCGATCGATTACAAAAGTAGATTCAGGTAAAAAATCCCGTTCATACATGTATAGTCGGGTTTTTTCCCTTAATGTCAGCATTATTGGTTGAACGTTAGCAATAACACATCCAGTATTGCCTTGTTGATTATGAGAATTGGTGAGGCAGGTCTGACATTTGAGTGTATACATTAGTTTTTGGCTTTTTGCTTGTTCAACCTGATCCATCACCATAATAAGGTTCAGATGTTGTTGGATTTCTGCTAGGATAGGTAGGAGAGTGAAGGGATAGTGGTTCCATCCTCACAGGTTTAAATTTGTATGTTTGGATGTGCAAGTATGTCAGCAGTGTAGAGAGGACCTAGGGTACTTCCTTGTTAAACACCAGCTTTAATTGGGTGAAAAATTGGTGCCGATTTTCATTTTAAACCATCAAGCCAAGAGAAAGAACTTTAGGATGAGATAGTAGGTGTGAGGGAGGATACATTTAAACTTGTAAAGGAAGGTGGGGTACCATATTTGGTCGAATACTTCTATAACACCCAGAAAATTGGCTGAGCTTTCTAGAGCTGAGCAGCTAGAGCAATATCTAGAGCTGAGGATATTGCAGAAGAAGATGTTCTGAACCCAAACTCTTTCCTAAATGTCCCACTCTTATAATTCTATATCGTCCGGGTCTGACAGATCTGTCAGATTTGTATATAGTTATCTTATTTTCTTGGTGAATTTCTGTTTATTTTGTACAGTTGGTAATAAATAAAATAAATTTTAAAAAATATTTCAGGAAGATTACAGATTACTAGAAGCTATGAACAATGCTACAGCGGTTAAATATACTAATATGAAACACACTGTTGAGATGTTATCAAAAAATATGATAGAATTGAATGAAAAATGTAAGTCCAGTTTTATCGTACTTATGCTTGACAACCATTAACTGAAAAATGTGTTTTGACCATTTTCAGACGAATCATTAAGGCCATTGCTCAATCATATCGACCAAATCGAAGACACCGTCTTGAAGTTGGAACAGGCCGCCTACAAACTCGAAAATTACTCTAAAAGACTGGAAGCAAAGTTTAAAGAAATTCAAAAGAAATCAACTATCTTTTAATTGTGTCTTTAGAACACATTCTTGTGTTTTTATTATTGAACAATGTTACATAGCAATTTATTTTAAAATGGTGGTTTAACATGTGTTCATACTAAGTTCTTAACCGTATAATTGAGATATTTAATTATTATTTAATATTATTTTTATACCCACATATGTATATTATTTATAAAATTTATCAGTTTTATGTTGTTATTATAATAACAATATTACTATACTCTGAATACATGTTAAATCTTATTTTTACCTGTATCAACAGTTAGAATGTAACTTTCAATTTGATTGATATTTACTTTATATTAACGATATAAAAAAATGGCTGATGATTTGAATATTAATTGTTGTTTGTGTACTGTAAAAAGTGAATAAAAGTATGTGCAATGTTTTTTTGGTGAAAAGATATATATGTAAATAAGTTTAAAAAAATTGTGATGTAAATTAAATAAATATACCTGTTAATTGCGTTATTACAAATAGTATGTAGCCTGATCTCCGATTGCTTATTTTCTCCAATTTGTCCGTCACGTTTCTTTCATCCTTAGCGACTTATGCGACACCTGAAGAAGGTTAAATGCCGAAATGAATCACAGGTAAGTTTGGTCATGTCCAACATCCTGCTCTGACAATTTTGACTGCTTTATTTAGTCTGTCTTGCCTTTCATGGTTTTTACATTCTTTGTTATCTAATTTTGAATATTTAATTCTTCTTAGGGAGGAGGACAATATTCTCTTGGTGCAAATCTAGGAAAATTAGTTAAAATTAAGAAATACCATTTATATTAACCATGGTTCAAGTTATGATTTAACACCTTGTACCTGGTGATCAAAATGAGATGTCTACTCTTTATAATTTGTTGTTTTCTTGTTGTGATATAACACATGAAATGTACTAAACATGTAGGTTGATCTTTTTCAATCATCCTACCATCCCTGGGAAAAGGTTGAATGCTGAGTATTTTTTCTCGACATGGAAGTCAAAATTTAGTCTATTGCCCCAGTGAATGCCCTCCCTATTTGACAATAGGATGATTTCATTATCAGCCCTCACATAATATCTAGTATGTATGGGTCTATGCCTAGAACACAAAATAGCATCAGTTTTGTTGCTATTTGCTAATTCTCCTCTTGTAGAAGAATTTAAAACATATTTATACAGGGTAAAAGGTACAAATACAGTCATCAACAAATAGTCCAAAGACTCGTTAATGTCATTTATACAGATGTTAAGAGGAGTAGAAACCACAAAAGAACTCTGGGGAACACTCACTCTAATGATGTTTGACCAATTCCTGGACATATAATTTTCTGTCTGACAGATTGGTGTGCGTTATCTAGATAAACACAATTGGTTAAATTTACATATATGCCATAGTCTAAGGTTAGGCCACATTCTAATAACTGGATGTATGATATACTATTTTAGGGGTGTGTCAAAAGAAGCAATATGATAGTTCCAAAATAAAGGTCTATGAAGTAGGGTAGATTTTCCTTGGTATGATTGCAATAGCGACATACATAAAGATCTAAACATCCCACACATCAACACTGAGGTCTCGCGGTATGCTTATAAGCGCTATCTATGTCTTCAAAGCCACCTGAGGTCAGCTGCCTACTATAGTCAGCACATCGTAAGGGGACATTAGTGTTCTGAAAAAAGTTACAAGGTGAACGCAATTTGATAAACTGTGGCGTAAATGAGTGGACTAAAGTGTATTTATTTATTTCAAAATTAGTCATTGTAAAATTAACTGATAGTCTATTTGACCAGTTCTAATAAATAAAATGTTTTTTGTTTTTTTTTAAATATGCTAAATAACTTACAAAAAATATGAATAAAAAAAATAACCTTTTAATGTAAAAAAAAGATAATTCTTATTATTTTTAACATTTTTTGTGATATGATAGCGCTATTTTATTAACATTATTAATAATTGTGATTAATATCGGCGTGATGGAAATATCGGTCGATGGGTGTTGGTATAAAGAAGAGGACCGTATCTTGGCTGACATTTCGATTTAATTTTAAATCTTTTTCAAGGCTGCCGCTTGATACTTAGGTGTCCTCTTTGTTTATGTTTTATTATTACTACTAACCGGCATATGATCCATGTTATTTTTCCACTCCATTGGTTGCTACCATGAGGTGAACTCTGACATCAGGTACAAGTTGGGAAACAAACTTGTTCTTGACGCCGGAGTTTCCCTCGTGGTAGCAACCAATGGATTGGAAAAATAACATGGATCATATGCCGGTTAGTAGTAATAAATAAAACATAAACAAAGGCTAGTTATCAAGCGGCAGCCTTGAAAAAGATTTAAAATTAAATCGAAACGACAGCCAAGATCCAAAGTCGACTTCTTTACGCCAACACCCATCGACCAATATTCCCATCACACACCGATATTAACATCACAATTATAATTCAAGGGTCATCTAAAGTTACATTATTAATAATTAATAATTAATGTTATCAGGATTTGCTTCAATAGGATCTGAGGATGACAATATGTATGTCGAAAGCGAGGCAACAACTTTAATTTGTTCAGTCTGTTACCCTTATATGATCCGTCATCATCAATATCTTTATGTTGAGGGCCGATCATTCATTGTTCATCATTGCTATAAATATTACCAACATTTCTATTATGTGCTGTATATGAAGGTCAATTTAATAAAATTAGGGATGATTATTTAAATAATAAACCGTTTTTATGTAAATTTAATGCAGTATAGTTGTTCTTGTATTTTGTTGTAGTTTTTATATTTTTTTATTAGGCTCGTTTAGTGCTTTTGAACAGATATGTGCTGAATAGAAAAATAAGTTGGATAAGAAAACGTTAGATAGCGCAGTAATGGTCAACAATCGCTTCTGCATCATTATATCTTTCACCTATGAAACTCGTAATTTTTTTGTCAAAATCTCGCGTTTTCTCTTCGTTAAAACTTAGTCCCAAAAAAGTATTTTTTTTTATTAATTTAAATTTTGGAAACGTGCAGGTTGGAAGCTTCGTGGATAAGCTTCTTTATGATATATGACTAGCCATATCACCCATCTAATTCTCATCCCTACATTTTTTCAATTAACAAAATAATTTCTCAATTCAGAATTTTTACTAGTTCATTTGACAATTTTGTAAATAAACGTACTTTTGACATTGAAAGTCTTATAAATCCGAAAATCTTCGAAAGTTACTTAAATCCAGTTTAGGTTTTAAGTAGTATTGGTTTTAGTTTCCTTTTGGTTTCCATTTAAAAACTTCATTCTGACTTATAATTTCGGGTTTTCTCTTCCTTACTTTAAAGCTAGATGGCAGACGTGTTATGCCAATTTGCTGCAACTTGCTACATACCAAAGTAGGCTATGCTGCGTTAAAGTCTCCGGCAGCAGCATCGTAAATTACGTTAATAAACGATTTCTTAAAGAGAAAAAGGTGTAATCTCGATGTATTTTCCCTCTTAAAATTTCTACATGGCAGCAGGAATCAGAATTGATCATGTTGTATGTAATAAAAACTAGTCATACGGCAATGTTATTAATTATAAATTTTGTTTCGTTACAAAAAAAATTTCAAAAGAGAAACAGCAGGTTGCACCACAAATAAACCTTTGTGATAGGTCACATTGACGTTATTTTAAATCTTAATTTTATTGCTTTTACTAGATATTGAATATATTTCTTTTATGCTATTCCACCTGGCAGCGCCGCATAAAATATTCAGTTTACAGGCTCTTTGTGATCATGATCCTACTTTAAAACACTGTTTAAAAAATGGTGTAACTTATTCCGTCCACACGTTCTCTTTCTGGTTCTTTATGTGCAATGGTTGGCGATGACAGAGCTGACTTTATTTCTAGGTGCGCACTCATGTACGGAATAAACAGATGCAATTTTAGTATATATACACTTTAGTAGTTTGAGTTACGAATAGAGTTTAAACTATTTCAACTACAAGGATGAATAATTTTACATCGCAATTGGCGAACCATTCGACAAAGCTTAACAAAACTATGACAAAGGGGAAAGTTCAGTGGTTTGATCGATTAATTATTATCTATTTGGCTCGTTGTTTTTATTGTTGACAAATATTCATGATTATATAAGCAATCGAACTTATTATTAAAGCACACTTCGATATTTCAAGCTGAAATACTTACTATTAATGCTTGTGCCATAGAAAATTGTCAGATTGCACTGGCAAAACATCCACATAAGATCAGAAGCCAACGGTCCTAAAAAGCATTAGTACATAAAAATATCATAAAGGGCCAGTGTTTTGGTGTGTTGAGCGACGTCTGCAAGCTGTGTGCAGCGCCTTTAAAACCCGTGGGGGATGTCGAGAAGCCGGATTATGGCGGTAAGGGACCCTGCGCTGATGTCGAGTATCGATTAAGCAATTCCGGTCATCGTTGTCGTTTTAGCGAAATTAGGCAAATCGATGGTCTGAGGGATAATTGAAGAGACTTCTCACTGTAAGAAGATAATGACAGATACCACACATCAAAATCAAGCCACTTTCACGTTTGGTTTTGTCTATTCTTTTACATATTCAACATTCGATGAAAATTTTTTCTTCGCAATTTTTGCAGGTTTACCGAGAACTTAGGCTCCGATGGCAACAAAAAGCGCTTAAAAAATCAACTAGACGGGTGTATTAATAGCATGTGTGTGTTTTTAGCGTACGTATTACAAGATAAACAGAAATGAAACCTATTTTTGTTGGCACTAGGATAATAATTAGATTACCTTAAATGATGTAAGAACGGTGAAAGCGAGGTGTGGTACTGTCGCCTTGTTCATTTCCGTCCATTTGATGGATTTGGGTTTTTTGGAATATACACTCAAAAGACAAAAACCCGACGCTTGTATTTGTTTATTTTTCATAATAACTAGTTACATTAAATAGCTGAATTAAAATGTAAACACATTAGTGACTTGTGTTTGCCTTTATTGATTGATTTTTTTAAAGTTAGATATAATACTGGTTTTGGCATCCTGCAAAGGAATATAAGTAAAAGACGCGTCACCTTCCCCGATAGACTGTTTCACCAGACATTAACCACGGAATTCCCCTCAATACTTTAATGTTCTTGAACCCAGTTCAAATATAAAATAAGGAGTTAGAGATAAGAGAGTTGATATCACTAAGAAAAACTGAATTCACAGCCACTGATGAAAATTTGGAATAGTCCCGGAGTTATGTATATAAAACATACCTTACTTGTAATAATCCTCACATTCTACACTCATGGGCAAAATACACGCACCACAATTAGAAATGATGTCTTATGAAATCCTGAGGAATTCTTTCCCATTCGTCAACAACGACCGTTTCCAACTCTTCTAGTGTGTTCGGACCTGG